TACAGGACCCTCTGACCATGGATCTCCTGGCACCCAGGAGGGACAGGGAAACCACAGGACCCTCTCTCTGACCATGGGTCTCCTGGCACCCAGGAGGGATGGGGGAACCACAGGAGTCTCAGACCCTGACCCCGGGGGAGGAGCTGGGACACCAGTCCACCCGGATCCTTGGTCACCTCAAATTCAGACCGCTGAGCTCCCTCTCCACAGAGAGATGCCACCTGGCTCACCGTACCCACAGCCTGTGAGAGGGTCAGCAGGTCTCCTCTGCCAGGGATGTCTGATAGGGCCGTGGGCAGGCCTCACCCTTCTCAATACTTGTTTTCACATTCTTCATCATCACACTTAATCCAAGTAAAATAAAAAAACCACACCAGTACCCACAATCTCATCAGCCCATTTTGTGGATGAGAAAATTGTCTAGGAAATGTACAGTCTTCACGCAGTCTTATCACAAGGTTCTGTCAGGTGTAAATATCTTCCTCCAGAAGAGTGTCGGACAATCTGTCAGCTCTGTCAGTCCTCGTATTTGCCCAGAGATAAAATCTCAAATACCCCACAGCCCGTCTGTGCCATCCTTGTAAGTGTGGTTTACTAAACTGTCCAGAGAGGTCACTCTGGCCTCTTCCCTGGACGGGATCCTGGGCTGTCTCTCACTCCCTTGCCGCCTCTGTCCCACCCCTCTCACCCGCTCTTCCAAGGCCCTGATGTCCACTTCTCTTTCTGCATACAAATGGTTGAGGCTGCCCCTAAAGCTCCAGTGCCCGTACCTGCTGGGTGTCCAGAGAAGCCCTGGTCTGGTCGGGGGGTGGGGAGGCACGGGTTAGAAAAGGTCTGTATTGCAGGAATGGGCAGGAAGCTGAGGTGGAAACAGCCAGCCCTGGAATATGCGTTGTGTGGGTGAAGGGGGCACAAGGGGTTGGCAGTCTCTGAGTAGCCTGGGGTGCTTGAGATCACCCCACTGTTCTACGGACCAGCAGCCAAGGCCTGGGAGGCCATTAGCTTGACCTTCACAGAGACTGGACCTCAGGCTAAGGGGCCCCAGGCCCCAGGGTACACCAGCCCAGAACTCCACTGCAGGTCTGTCTACTGACTTCGTGTTTCTTCCTTTTTCACCTGGGGCTCCTAAAAACAGATGCCTGGGTTTGATGGTTTCACTGTGAACCATTTAAGTCCAGATCTTGAGAATGGAGACTCGTGTGTGTGTGTGTGTGTGT